AGTCAAGTTAGGCATTTTCCGAATTTTTGACACACCAAGCCCAAAAGGTTTGCCATCACTGCTATAGAGCAAATAGCAAGGCATATAGTGATCCTCCATCCAGATGACATGTCCCTTCATCATATCCAGGCTCTGATAATCAGGGACTCAATGCTGGTGGGCTCCACATAATTATATAATATATTATAATATATTATAATTATATAATTATAATTATAAATATTATATATTAAGATATTATATCTTGAAATATAATCATGGAAATGTAAGAGCCAAATAGTCATTTTATACAGCTACTGCTTGTCCCTCATACATAAAGTAGGGGCAATTTTCAGTAATGGGAGATTCCAAACAATTTTAGATAAACTTTGATGGCATTATAACCAACGTATTTGCTTGACACAAATGATCACATACTTCACTGCTGAAGTGGAAAAAAGGTAGAACTAATCAGAGGATTCCTGTTACTGGCAACAAAGCCCTATGAACACATATAGCTTTTTCAACTTCATAAAGGACCAAGAGGAAAGCTACATATACATACAAGGGTATCTCAATATCTAAGACTTTAAAAAGTACATAAAAGATTGAAAATGGCTAAGGTACTTACAGTCGACAATTTTTCACAAGGGTTTTCAAAACACTTTCTACTGAGCTAAAAGGAGAGCAAAAAATGAAAAAAAATTATAGTATTCTACCTTATAAAAATATAGTTACATAATTATGCAAAGTCTAAGATGATATTGATTCAATGATACATTGTCTATGTACATGCAGCAGTTAATTTTACTTAATGATACAGATTTAGTTACAAGTATTACGATTGATTTGCCTGATTTTTTACTTTGCTTCTATTTCTCCTAGAGTACTGCTTGGGCCACATATAGGATCATGTTTTTCCTTATATCCCAAATACTCAACAGAGTGTGTTTCAGTTTTTAAAAACAAAAAGTCACATAATAATAAAGTTTAGAAATATAATTGAGTAAACTGCATCACACCTGCAAACCTACTTGCCAGTTTTTTCCCGTTAGTATAAATGTTTTGAGATGCCACATGTTTTCAAAAGGTATACCTTACTATGTACAAAGGAACTATCCCTGGACAACTGCTGTATTTATTGACAAGAGCATTCAAGGGCGCTCAAGCAGTGGCTTATTTCCAAATGCTCTATAATACGGATTATCTAGACTTATTTCAAGCTGTTTTCTGGTGCATTTTTGCCACTGAAACTTCTTAGCAGTTTGGCAAACAGTCTTCTGGACTGGCTACCTACGTTGAGGTAAATAGTCTACATGATTCTGGCCTCATCTGATGCATATGTTTCAAAAAAGAGTATTGGGGAACTAATCCCACTTTTCCACAAAACAGTTTTGCTACAGAGTTCCACATTGCTTTGTTTTGTTTTCTATGAATTCTAACATCCTACATGAAACCAATCAGAAAAATAAGTCTAGAAATTTGGGGTATAGGGTTATTAATATCCTAGTAGCAATAGGTTTTTTTACTCCCTAATTCAGACATGACAACTCAATTATACTATATGGTGTTGCACATCACATTATTATTTTTTATCCCGCCTATATTATTTTTATACTTAACTCAAGGCAGTGAACAAACCTAGTACTCCTCCCTCCTCCTATTTTCCCCACAACAACAACCCTGTGAGGTGAGTTGGGCTGAGAGAGAGGGACTGGCCCAAAGTCACCCAACCAGCTTGAGTATAAATTTGTCCAGGATATTAAAATGGTATGTGTAGTTCAAAGTGTCTCCCATCAAGTCTTTTGAGGTGTCAGTAGCATAAATCTTAAGGTAAGAATGACTTTGCCAAAGCAATTCATGCTTCTGAAAAATTATGGTTATATTACTTCAGTGTGTTAACCATAGGTCTACCTCTGCAAAGGTGACACCTTCATCTATGTGAAATCTTCAGCTAAAGTGGTATCATTCACAAGACATGTTCCCTAGATCACATTACATTAGTCAATACTAAACAAACCACCACCATCCCCTTTATCAGCAAGTATCTCAATCTGACTTTTAAAGTTCTAAATGGTTTAGGATCAAAGTATCTTAAGAACACATTCTTCCTTTATTAACCTGCCCATTTCATAAGATAATTAAGATAGGTTTCTATCTTCATAAATAAAGTTCACTGTGTTGATGTAGACAGTACCGCCACAGCTATCATTTAAAAAAGTATTTTTCCTTAGATACTCTTCTCTCTCTGGCTGCGTCTAATAGTTGCTACTGCTTTCTCGTTTAATCTTACTATGTTTCAGAGTTATTTGGGAGCTTCTGATATTGTGGAGTCCTTGGGGTTCTCTGAGCTTGGTTCTTTCTTTTTTCAACTGTGGAATAGAAAAAAACAAACTT